AGATTGCAGAGGATTTAGAAGAAAGTGAGGGGATTAAGTGGAGGCATCCAGTGTAGAATGTAGAAAAAAGATATAGAATGATGCTAATGGGAATGGTCATCAAGTGAAGGATTCTTGAGGATTGAGGAGAGTTGGGCCTATTTGTAGATAACAGATAGGGAGAGATTAAGATTAGAGAGAGAACAGGGATGATAGTGAGGGTGAGTATTCTTGGGGAGGTGATGGGATTAAAAGTGAATGCAGAGGGGTTTTTGCTTTGGGTAAGAGAAGGCCTAGGGCTGTTCATCTGAGTGAAATAAGGAGGAGGGGAGAAAGAGCTTTTAGCATACGATCTCAATCTTTTTGGTTAAAGTGTGAGGTAAGATTCTTAGCTGAGAGGGTGGAGGGAGCAGATGCTATGTATGGGAAACAAGGGGAGATGAAGTTTGGAACAGCCACTGTGGAGTGGTATAGCAGATCAGTTAGGGAGAATAGAAGGTTTTTCTTTTAGTGAGGGCCCAGTTGAGATGAATTAACATAAATTTGTAGTGGGCCCACTAGATAGATGATCTCTTATGATTTCATCCTAGCTTTAGGTTCTATGATCTGACAAGAAGGAGGTCTGTTGGTGAAAGAAAAAGATTGGAATATTAGCAAAATAGAAGAACAAATATTTTGTTTTTGTATTGTATGCTTTTTTTTTAAGAGTAAGGGACACCTTAGTGTTTGTAGGGAGAGTGGAATGAGATCCTTAGAGGAAGGAAGAACATATGAGATCGTGTACATAGGAGGAGTATCTTCTGTTGAGACAGAAAAAAAACAGTGAGATCTGGAAATAAGATTGTGAATAGAAACTAGAGTGGAGACAGGAATAGGGATGAGTAGGGACAGAAGTCAAGCTCAAGTAGAGGAAGTAGGGTTGAGGAGGGAGGAGATAAAACTGGACCATCCCTCAACCAAGATCCTTGGCTCCTGTCATGACACTTTCTACCACCTACCCCATTACTATGGAGATAGAAGTAATATCAATATCTGTCCCTTCTAAGAGAGAAAGGATATGTATTCCATCATCAGCTGTCTGGAACCAGTATTGATCACTGCATTTGATCTGAGTTCTGACAGTGTATGTATTTTCTTGGTTCTACTTTATTAACTCTGCATTAGTCTGTACAAGTTTTCTCATGTTTCTCTCATTTCCTTATGTTATTCTTTGTAGTGAAATAATCCATCACATTAATTTGCCACAACTTATTTTTCTGTCAATTGATGGATATATACTATTTCCAGTTTTTTCTACTGCTAAAAGTGCTATTAATATTTTAGTGTATACAGTATAGGGCCTTCTTTGTGTCATTGAATGCATTAGGATAAATGCCTAGTAGTAAGATTGCTGGTTCAAAGGGCATCCACATTTCAGTAACTTTTCTCTAAAGTTAATTTACAGTTTATAACTCTCCCAAAAGGATCATCATCGTCATCATCATTATTATTATTATTATTATTATTATTATTATTATGTTGATATTCCAGTGATGATTATTTGTGTTTTTAATCATCTTTGCCAGTTTGGGTGTAGAAGTGAAACCTCAGAAGTTTTAGTTTGCATTTCTTTTGTCGGATTTTTAGCATTTCCACCCATGCTTGTTGATAGCTCACGTTTCTTTTTGGAAAAAGAAAGTTTGCATATCATTTGGCTGCTTATTTGTTGGGGAATAAACTTTGCCCTTTCAGATTAGTTTTATGTGGAAAAACTATATATTATTCCAAAACTTTAGCAAATTGAGAGAAGATGTGTGCATGTTTCCTGTTCCCAATCACATATCTTCTCCTTCATTTATTTTGACAGCACTTTCTCAAAATCTCTTCATCTACTCGCATCTCAACCTCAGGAATCTATAATATAAAGATAATATTTTAAATGAATGTTAGTAAGTTGTTGGGTGTATTTTAACTACATAATCTAAAACACGACAACAGTAAGTACATAGTCATCTCATGTTACCAATGGCAGAGCTAGGGAAAGGAAATGCTACCATGGAAACATAACCAGAATTACTTGAGACCACACTCAAGAAGCTTAACTGTTCTCTAGCAGTACGTTTTCAATATTGATTTTCCTACTTTTATATTTTAAGAGCTCATTTTATAGTGATCAAAACAACTATAATCTTCCCACTAAACAATGTGGAATGCAATTTTGAATTTGTTTTTTAAGAGTCATAAGAGCTATGCCAAAATAGAACATTATATAGATAATTTTTAAAACTTGGTAATTTATTGGTGATTAAATTATTATGCTTTTTTTCACCTAACAACCATGGTTCTTGTGGATTAGAATTTATCTTAATCTAAAACTGAGCAAGGATCTAGCAAACAATAGTACTAGTTTCTGTAATTTGATACTATTATTTCAGAAGCAACAAATTATTTGTACTTTAATTTAAATTTTATATTCCTGTCATCCACATTTCAGTCACCCAAACACATAATTAGTCCTTACTGGTGAGATTTTTTTTTAAAGTAGTTGGTATTTTTCCTTAAGTACTAAAATATATATTTTTTCAAATTCAATATCTTTTCCCGTATTTTCTACTCTTTTTCCTCCACCCCCTAATAGAGAGACATCCCTAATAATAAAGTAGCAGGGAAGAAAGGAAAATTCCAAAAAACAAAACAACATATCCAAAAACTGATGTTCCATGCAATATCCCACAACCTTCATTCTCCCACTTCTGCAAAGGAGCTAGGTGATGTGTCCTCTCCTACCTTTTTTGAGGCCAAGCTTGGCTATTATAATTCTATATCATTATTTGGATTATTTTGTTGTTTTTCTTTTTTTGTGTGCATTGTCATAGTTGTTATATATATCCAGTCAATCAATAAACATTTGTTAAGCTATGACACTATGTGTCAGGCATGTGCTAAATGTTTCACTATATATGTCTTTCTGTGTTTCATGTTCATGGATCACACATTTATCATGTTTAGCATTTCTTACAGTACAATAATGTTCCTTTTTTAAAAATGCCTTTTTTTTTTTTGCATGAGTTCAACTTTTTTGTCATACTTTGTTAGGTAATAACTGCCTGTTCTTTAATCATTGGATTATACAGACCCAGAGATTTACATCAATTGACTATTAAGGGATAAGAAGGGTGAGAGAAGAGGAGAGGAAGAGGAGAGGTAGGGAAAGGGTAGGGGGAGAGTGCTTCATGTATAACAGTTTGTTTAGCCATTCCTTAAGCAATGCCTGTCTCCTTTGTTTCCAGTTCTTTACTCTCACAAAAAGTGTGACTACAAATATTTTGGTGTGTATGGGATCTTTCTGTCATTGACTCACTTGGGATTTACGAGTAGTGAAATTTCAGAGTCAAAGGGCCTAAATGTTTGAGTCATTTTCTTTGCATAATTCCAGATGGTTGTGCCAATTTACTAATTCACCAACAATCTATTAGTGTTCCTGTGTTGCCACAACCCATTGGATATTGCAATTTTAAGATATTGCCTTTTCATATGTATCACTTTGTTGCAGAGTTAAATCTATTCAGAGTTCTAATGAAACAGTTACTCTAAATTCTGAGATAGTTTTTGCTTTATTTTGGTTATGACAACCTGTAGTATACTGGAGCAATGTGGCACCAGCCAGCACTGTTCTTTGATTGTAGGACAAAATTAATTTATCTACTTGTTGGTCAAAATAAGAATTTTTTTTATTCACTATATGTTAAAGTGGTGTTAGAATTTGAGTGCATCTGGCATGGCTTTGAATACAGGACTGGACAATGTATAGACTGTAATCTTAGAATTAATCTAGCTACTTTGAAGAGATTTATCTGTAGGTTGATTTTGGAGTGATGGATTTTTTTAAACCAAAATATTTTTCTGCCATGGAAAAGAATGGTTGTGATATGCACTGGTGGAGAGAGTGCCCGTGCCAGTAAAATCCCAGATCCCTGAGAAATTGAAGTAATATATTAGATCATTTGAAAATAGAGTATGAAATAGTGTGCTGTTTCAGGTTTAGCCTTCTTATTTTTGATCATAATTGTTTTTTCTGAAAATTATAGCTAGAAAGATTTTTCCAATATGCAAATAAGATAATAGTTTCTCCACCTACTCCCTCCATCCCTAAACAAACCCTTTGGTTAGTGATATTTTTATCTTGATTTTCTAATCTTATTAGTAATATATAATTTAACATTACTTGCCAGGTTTCTTTGTGTAGGTAATGTTGTTATAATGTTCTGACTCAGCAGTGTAAGGATTATAAATTGCTTTAACTCTCCATCTAATTGCTTTCTTACCACCACCACCCCTCCCAGTTTCCTGCTATCTTGTGCTATAAATCCAATTTTATTAATCCTCTTTAAAGGGCATTTATTTTAGCAAAAAAGCTACCTGATTTGATTGCTATAATCTTCAGATATTTTGCAGAGTTTATGCATTTCAGTTAGCAAATGAATAAAACTCGGAATTGAGCCTATTATCTGTCATTTTCTATTAAAGACTATCTTGCCTACTCAGGCTGCTGTAGCCAGCAGTGCTTTCTTCTTGGTTTGACCTCACGATACTTATTGTTGATACTATTTGTTTAGCAGTTAATTGTGTTTTGACATCCTTTGTCAAATGAAGCCAAATATTTCCTGACCCTAAGACTTGGCATACTTATCCATCAAGTGTGCACAAACATTGCCATATGTCATCTGTATTTTTGATACACAATTTCACCTTTAATAGTTTGAGAGGAAGATATAACACTAGCATTGCATAGAAAACATCTTGGAAAATATTGGTATAAATTGTCTTTCCAGATAGGTTTTTTTTTAGCTTCTTAAGGGAGCAGCAGGACATAGTGATGTTACATATTCTCTCCCCCATCCCTATAGTCTTCCTCATTTCCTACCCTCTTCCTTCTCTGTAAGTTCATAAAGACTGGAATAAAAAAATTTAATTCTGGTTATCTATGTATCTAAAAGCTCTTTTTACAAAAAACATTAATTCTGTTGGTTCTTTACTGCTAGGTGAATGGAAAAGGTTCCTTATGGTGTGTTGATCCAGAGTATAAACCCAATCTTATACAAGCACTGAAGAAGCAGCCTTTTTCCTCAGCACTTGCATTTTACACCCCTCCTGCATCACCACAAAAGTAAGGGTTTATTCAGTTACAAATAATTAGTGGTTTAAGTGTTTTGTTTGGGGTTTCTGAAGTGGAGAAATGGCAAATTTTTTATTTAAAGAAGAATTTAGCATGAGAGAGTGATCTGCACTTTGTTTTTGCTTTGGGATTATTTCATTTATGCCTATGAGAAATAAGTAATCATTTTAATTTTTCTTTTAAACACATGTTTCTAAGGCCTAAGGATATGGTAGGAACATACATTTTCAGTTTGTTGGGGGGGAGGGGAGGGAAATAGCTTTTTTTGTGTGTCATTTTAAGTTTGTATATTCAGGTTTGAATTAGTGAAATCTCACAATTTCTGTTTTCAGAGTTCCTTTGCTCCACATTGAATTCACAAAAATAATCACTCAAGTGCTAAAGAAATTTGCCAAATAAAGTAAAATTTTACTGAGCTTTTATTTATCATTAAGATGTTTGTGGTTCTCCTAACCTTTGCCTTTGAGTACAATTTCTTCTATTGACCCCATATATTTGTCATCTTAATGCAGACCTTATTAAACATATTATATTTTTGAAGTAGAATTTGTTTCATTTGTCCAAGAAGCATTCTGTAGCCTTTTTGGATCTGTTGAGCTAGGTGCAATCATTATTGTATTTACATCAAGTAGAAGTCTGTGCCACTGTTGCAATGAACTTGCAAAAGTATGCAACACACTCATAGAACAGAGTTTATTTTTAATGTTTCTAGATTACATTAAAAATTTTGTTCGTTGAGAATTTAAAGCTTCACCTGGGAGTTTAAAAAAAATTTATCCAACCATTGGGAGGGAATATATTTGGACAGATACTATAAAAAGCCAAATTGACATGTCCGCAACTAAACTAGTAAATATTTTTAGCTTTCCATTGAACTATTATTAGGTTGGAAAAATGTGTATCAATAAGATCTAGCTCTAGTTAATACAATTTAAATAAAATCTAGCAGTTTTTACAGTTATCTTTCTTAGAGTAAAGGAAATGATCAGTTAATGATACTTATTAACAAGCCTAAAGAATTGGTAGTACAGTAAATGTCAAAATCGATGATGTTTTAAGTTTATTTAAATAATTTCTCCCCAAAACATGGCTAATTAAGAATTGACAATGTTTCCAGAAACCCACATATAACGCATTTGAAGTACCATGTTTTTTATGTTTCTACTTCAATATTTATTATTTTATTAATGGGGTTTTTTTGTTTTCTTTTGTTTTCTTTTTTTGACTTCCCATATGTTCAGGGTTTTACTGAGCCTACTGGAATTTTAGAATTTTTGCCCTGTCTGAAAAACAAATGACAACAATGTCACAATAAAGGATGCCTATTTTGATATAACCTTCTTCATTTTTTTGTTGATGTATTTGACTGCATCTGGCAATGTAGATAATATTCTGTACCTTCTCTCTTCCCTTTTCTCCTTCCTTCCCTTCCTAGATTAAGGAAGTAGGTTTTGTCTTGTGATCTCTAAGCTTGAGATTGGTCACAGCAATTGATCTAAGTCTGACTGCCTTTTAGAAAGGTTGTTTATTTTAGTCATTGTGTGTGCAGTTCACTTGGTTCTACTTATTTCATTGTACATTAACTTTATCTTGAGTTAAAATTCTCCCCATTTAGAATAATAAGATCTAGAAAAAAGCTTAGAGAGATTTTATAATTTACTCATCTTACGGATGACGAAACTAAGTTCAGAGAGTTGAAGTGACCAGCCTGCAGGCACACAGCCTGGTGTAGTGGTAGACTACTCTTCTGTTTTGAAGACTTTATTTCAGAAGTATTTGCAATAGAAATAATTTTTTTAACTGAGTGATCTCCCTTTGAACTCCTAAAATCCTATCACATTTATTTTTTACCACCTCCATTATCACTATTACTTTATCACCACCAGAGGTTCCCAAACTTACTTGGCCTACCTCCCCCTTTTGAAAAAAAAATTACTCAGTCCCCCCTGGGGTTAGGTTAGGTTAACCCTTATTTTTATTCAATGCCCCTCAATTGCACCCAAGGCTTCTACTGCCCCGATTCCCCCTTCCCACTTGCTGGATTGTTCCAGTGCCCCCAATGGCCCATTTGGGAACCTATAAATTCTAGACCCTTACCATTAAGTTCTCCATAACTGTTACCACTGAAATATTTTAACACTATCAGCACAGAACCATGGGACTAGGAACCTAGAAGCCATCAAGTCCAACTTAGAATTCCCGACATGAGACTTGGCACTGTGGCAAGAGCACCGGATTTGGAATCAAAGGACCTGGGCTTGAATCCTGGCTCTCCTACCTTCTTACTTGCTACTTATTTACTTCCTGATCTCAAACAAGTCACTTCACCAATCTGGGCTTTGGTTTCCTATTAGACTAGGTGATCTACAGCCCCTTTCTGCTCTGATGATGTATAGATCCTCTTGTGATATAAAATTGTAGTTCAAAAATCTGAAGGAAAAGACTTAATGTATGTAAAACATGAATAATAAACTAACAACACTGTGGTTATTAAAAAGCTGGAAAATGTATTTGACAAAGCATACATTTATTCTAACATAGATATCACAGTACAGAAGTAGTTATTTTTGTCCATTTTCTAGATTCTTGTGATTAAATTTTTAAATGTTGTTGCTTAATTCCATCTACTAAAAATAAGTACTTATTAGTGAATACAAGTGAGTATAAGAATAATGTTTACAATCTTTATTAGTATAAATGCTTTTTTAAGTGCTCACAATATGTAGATAAGTTGAATTGGTTGTCAGTAGAAATGAGTCTACATCGAGCAAACTTTTTTAACCCTGTAAATTATTGAAACTTTTGTCTCTATGGTAACACTTACATTCATCATTTAAGCATTGAGTCTTTCCTAAATTTCTCCAGTACTGAATATCATCTCAGGAAACAGAGACAATACAAAATTTTTTCTTATTGTTGTAATGGGGGGTGCTGTAGGGGAAAAACTCAGATAGCAAGGCCCAGACCTGTGATTTCGTCTGTGTTGAGAATTCCTATTAAGAAAATTCCTTCCATCAGTGTAAATCAGAAACTGTTCTGAATCTTATAATCTCAGAGAGTTGCCTGGAGTTCTGAGACATTGCCCAGGGGTCACACAGCCAATATGGGTCAGAAGTGGGCTTTGAACCTGGATGTGCCTGACCAAGGCCAGCCCTCTATCTACTACACTGCCTCTACCCTCCAAAAAATAAATTTGCTAGCTAATAAAAAAAAAAGTTGACTGTTAAAAAGGAATATAAATAAAACTCTTGTTGTGATTTTTTTTTAGTGGATCATCACCACCTCATTATATAACCTCTGTACTAAAGCAGAGCCAAGTTCGAACTCTCAAAGGTATGTATAAAAATTTGATGTTATAAATTATTTTTTTAAAAAATCTGAAAACATGCTGCTAATTCTTATAGAATTTAATTTCTCAATAATACCATCATGGATTTTCTTTCAGTTTCTGTTGTTTAGATCCATAGCTCAGTTTTTTTGTCTCAGTTCCTCAACATGTTCTTACCAGGTTAGTTCATAAAAAAGATGACTGAGCACCAACTGGGTGCAAGGAATGGTGTGTATGGCCAGTACCTCTAAAGAGCTCTTCTTTCGTCTGCCATTTAATTTGAGGAGAGTCGTTTTCACAGATTTTTCTTACCAACCGTCATTTGGTAGACTTAATCATGTTTTCCTCTTTTTGGGGGGCTGTATATCAATTTGCCTCTTCTACCTCCTCTATTCTCCCCCCCCAAAAAAAAACCGTAGTAGTACTATTGCCTTCCATTTGCATACTGCCCTCTAGTGCTCCCCTAGTGGAGCTAATGGATAAGCTGTGTTTCATTTTATGCCTTTGTATTTACCAACTTCATGGAACTGTTTTCCATAGTAATAACTGTATTTTCCCCCACCAATAAGCATGAGAAAAGTCTAGACCTAGAACAAGGAGGCTGATTCTTTCTGTTTTAGGGTAGCCAGCTTTCATTTGTGAGAATAGACTTAACAGAAAATATGATTATCTAGAAACCTGGGAAACCACTGAATTTGAATATAAGTTGAATTCTTCCCCCCCCCCCCACTTAGATAATTACATTGGGGCAGCTGGGTGGTATAGTGGGTAAACCACTAGGCCTGGAGTCAGGGATATCTTAGGTCAAATCCAGACTCAGACACTTACTAGCTGTGTGATCCTGAACAAATCACTTAATCTCTGTTTGCCTCAGTTTCCTTATCTGTAAAATGAGGATAATAACAGCACCTACCTCCCAGGAATGTTGTGAGGATGAAATAAGATAATTGTAAAGTGCTTAGAACATAGTAAGCTTTATTATCATTATTATTGTTATTATTATTATTTGGATATTTCTATCACAGTATACCAGTTTGCAAGATTCAGAGGAATTATATGCTGAGTAAGCAAGAGAACAGAATGAATTGTGTGTTTTTTATTGGATTTTTGTCTTGTTTGATGAGTTTGGAGAGTAGTGTTAGCATCATAGATCTACAGTCGGAAGATTTAGATTTAGATTCAGATCTTTGCTCTGATGCTTACTACCTGAGGGATCTTGGGCAAATCATTTAACCTACCTGGGTCTTAGATTCCTCATCTATAAAAGGAGGGGATTGAATTAAATGGCTCCTAAGGTCCCTTCCAGTTCTAAATGTATGATCTCAGGAACATCTGTTTGTATATTTAATTTAAGATGAAGCCTAGTTCTGAGATATAACAACTGTGGCTAAGAATTTAGCAATTTATGGTTAGGTTAAGGACTGTATTAATTAAGCTATTAAAAAAAAAATTGGGGCAGCTAGGTGGCGCAGTGGATAGAGCACCGGCCCTGAAGTCAGGAGGACCTGAGTCCAAATCCAGCCTCAGACCAAACAGTTGACGCTTACTAGCTGTGTGACTCTGGGCAAGTCACTTAACCCCAATTGCCTAAAAAACCCCCCAAAACAAAAAAAATCAAAGAGGCTAAAAAGTACTAACAATTATTGAAATAATATTCATACCATTTAAAATTTTTCTGGGCCAATAATTCCAGTAGGGGATATATCTTTTCCATTAAGATTGTCTAATATATATGTTTTGAGAGACTACAGGGCCTTTTCTATTTAAAAATGAAGAATTACCCATTGGAACTTCAGCTCCTCTCCCTATCATTCTTTAACCTGATTAAATAAGAAACAGACATCAAAAAGTTACTAGTATGTCTTGTAAGCTTCACCATTATAAGACTGACAAGGGGTCTTTGAAGATTACTAGTCTTGTTGTAAAATTGCTAGCATTTTATCACCATTTAAGCTGTGTACCAAATACAGACTAGATAGATCATTTATTAAGCACTTGTCATGTGTCTAGCTCTGTGCTAAGTGCTAGGGATACAAAAACAAGGAAGTAAGAGTTCTTGCCCTCAGTGGGGTAATGGTGAAAAGACAACACCAAAAGGAGAGCTGGAAAATAGAAATCTGAGGCAGACATTACCTACAATGGATCATAGCCAGTGGACTTTGGAAAGTTGCATAGAGGCCTGATTCCTGATAAGGCAAAAAGCTCACCTGTTAGAGCCAGGATGGCTAGGCATGGAATCCATGTTTCTGGGAAGGCAAAGAGGATCAGAGAGAAGTGTGATATTGAGGATACTGCCCTCTTTAGGTCTTTTGGAGTGAATGTGGACCTTCTGTTCTGCTTATAGTTCAGTTATTCCTATAGCATCTCAAATTTTGTAAATTGATAGGACCACTAAACTTTTTATTTCCCTTCCTGCCAGTAAGGGATCTTACTTAATCACTTAGATTAAAGAAACAAATACAAGCAAACTGCACCAAGCTTTATGCTACTTCGTTTTTTAATGAGCTCCTAATCACTAGAAGAAAGAATAATATTAGTCAAATTTTTTTTAAAAAATCAACCTCTTATTATTTGAGTGAGCCCAGAATTAATAGTCTTTTAGAATTCTAGCCTTAGAGTTTTACTTAGGAAAACCTATCTTAATAAAGGGAGGAACAGTTCAAATTTTTTTAATGCTGTGATCATACAGGGATGTGTAATTAGTATGGTTTGCATTTGTATTGAGCAAAACAATAAACATAATAAAAGCTATTGAAAAAAAATTTTCAATTATCAAGCATTTCTTGAAAAAAGTTTTAAACTATCAAGCTCGTTTTTTCTTTTCCCTTCTACTTAAGAGCTGGGGGGGGGAACCCTCTTATAACCAGTATGCATAGTTGAGCAAAACATTCCCAAATTAGCCACATGCAGAAATGCTTCTCATTTTATATATTTAGTCTATCACTTCTCTGTTACAAGGTGGATAGTTTTCTTCTTCATCCCTTCTCTGGAATCATGGTTGATTATTGTATTGATCAGAGTTCTTAAGTCATGAAAAGCCATTTTTAACAACGTTGTAAAATCAACAGCAGAGAAATTCTCCTTTATATCCCTATTTCGCTATATCTACTTAGAACCTTTGGCAAATTGATGCTTTAAAAATTCTTTCAATAGAGTGGGGGACCTTAAAGATGAGCTACTTAAACCCATTAATTTTTACAGATAAGGAAAATGAGGCACAGATGGTAAGCAGTCCATAGTTAAATGATTCATTTTTTTATTAATTTATTTTGATTTATCAACAATCACATAAGCTTTTGAGTTTTAAATTTTTCTCCTCCTCCCTCCCCAAGATGGTATGCAATCTGATATAGGCTATACATATACATTCCTATTAAACATATTTTCACATTAGTCATGTTGTGAGGAAGAATTAGAACCAATAGGAGGAACCATAAGAAAGAGGAAACAAAACAGAAGTAAAAAAAATAGCAAAAAGTATGCTTCTGTCTGCGTTCAAACTCTATAGTTCTTTCTTTGGATGTGGATAGCATTTTCTATCATGAGACTTTTGGAGATGTCTTAGATCCTTGCATTGCTGAAGGGCTAAGTCTATCAAAGTTAGTCATCGGACAATGTTACTGTTACTGTGTACAATGCTCTCCTGGTTCTGCTCACTTCAGTCAGCATCAGTCCATACATAAATGATTTTTTTTTAAGGCAGTTGGCCTTAAGTGACTTGCCCAGGGTCATAAATGATTCATTTTTTAACAAATAATGCACTTACTGTATTCAGAGAACTGTTCTAGGAAAAGATGCAAAATATTAGATGAGACTTAATGCCTACTTTCTTTGTAGTTGAGTATAGTAGGGGAATATTGCAGAATTTCAAGAGTTAGAAGGGCCCCAGAGGCCATCTAGCCCAATCTGTACCTGAACAAGAATCCTATAGCATGTCAGACCAGTGATCATTGAGTCTTTGCTTCAAAACCCTAACAAAAGTCTATAGTTGGAAGGGATCTCAGCAGCCATGTAGTCCAGTTCCTGCCTGAAAAGAAATCATCACTATAATCACCATAATGAATGGTCATCTAGTCTTGACTTGACCTTAAATGAGGAGCAACCCATTACTTTTTGGTTTTTTTGAGGGGCGGGACTAGGCAATGGGGTTAAGTGACTTGTCCAGGGTCACACAGCTAGTAAGTGTTACGTCTCTGAGGCCGGATTTGAGCTCAGGTCTTCCTGACTCCAGGGCCAGTGCTTTATCCACTTCTCCATGTAGCTGCCCCTGTGACCCATTACTTTTGAAGATCTCTGATTTCAGGAAGTTTTTTTCACATCAGACCAAACTCTTTCTCAGCAACTTCCGCCAATTGTTCCTGGTTCTACTCTATATTGTCAAACCAAAAAAGTCTACTCCTTCTTCTACAAAACAGTCCTTTCCAATGCTTAGAGGACAGGTAAAAGTCCCTCTAATCTCTGTGCCAAGTATTCTCTTTTCCTTGAGCTGATCCTCTCTGGTCATGAACTTGAGGTCCTGCCCCATCCTGGTCCCAGTCCTTTGAACACATTCACACTTAGCTGTGCCTTTCTTCTACTTTAGATGCATTCAGACCAGGGCAGACCAGAGTGGGGCTGTCATCACTATGGGTTTGGGCACAAGATTTCATTTAATGGGGGCCATAACTCTTAAGATTGCCTTAGTTTTTTGTTGTTTTGTTATGGTTTGGTTCCCATACCATAACATGCTGATTTTTACTGAGCTGGCTCCATTTTTAGATACATTGTCAAGCTAGCCATTCTCCCTGATACTGTAACTGCAGTTGATTTCTTAAATGGAAATATAAGATTTTCCATTTATTTTTACTAAATGTTCTTATTAGATTCCTATTATTTCATCTCTAAAACAAGGTTGGATTTAATACTCTTCCTTTTTTGAATCTGTAATTCCTATTTTATGCTGCAACATATTATCAATGGAAAGCTATGCAGGAGTAGCATAAAGATTGATTGATTGATTTTTGCT